CTCTAGCCTCCTGGTGGTCTCCCATCCAAATAATAGTCCTGCTTAGTTTTGGGGCCTGCAGAGGGTCAGCCGAGGCCTGCTCCCTGCTGAAGCCAGGTTGGCTAAGCCTGGATGAATGGCAGTTCCTCCCCCTTGGGTGTCCGAGAAGGGTTTACCTGGCTGTAGAGAGGGGCAGCTCCTGCTCACCTGCGGATCTCCATCACCTGGGCCCTGCCCCGACTTTCCCACTGAGTCCAGGACTCTAGGGAGGGGTGACACCCCCAAGGTTGCCCATCCCTGCTTTCTCCTGTAGGCCCCTGGGTGTACAAATAGTCCTCGACTTAACAAGCGTTTGTTTAGTGACCGCTCAAAGTTACGATGCTGGAAAAAAGGGACCTATGACCGTTTTTTGCACTTGCGACCCTCGCAGCGTCCCCATGATCAAAATTCAGACGCTTGGCAACTGCTTCCTATTTATGACGGCCGCGGCGTCCCCGGGGTGTGTGTGTGTGTCACGCGATGCCCTTTTGCAACCTTCTGACAAGCGAAGCCAACGGGGGGAGCCAGTTTCACTCATGCAACTCATTTAACGACCGCAGCGATTCGCTTAACAAGCGTGGCCGTAAAGGTCGTTAAGCTGGGGCAAAAGTTGCTTAACCAATGTCACGCTTAGCAACAGGAACGTTGGGCTCCCCTGTGGTTGTAAGTCGAGGACTGCTCTCATGGGGTCCCCCCTGGCTATCACCGGTCCCCAGGAGTTCATTTTCCTCTTGCAGGTTTCACCTTTGTGCCACGAAGGGAAACGTGGGCTGCTTGGAGGTGATGCTGGCCCACGGGGCGGACGCTCTGACCACCGACGGTTCAGGTGAGATGACCTCCACGATCCCTTCCGTGTTCTGTTCCATTCTGTTCTGTTCTATTCTATTCTATTTTCTATTCCATTCCATTCCATATTCTATTCTATTCCATTCCATTCCATTCCATTCTATTCTATTCTATTCTATTCTATTCTATTCTATTCTCTATTCCATTCCATTCCATTCCATATTCTATTCTATTCTATTCTATTCTATTCTATTCTATTCTATTCTATTCTATTCTATTCTATTCTCTATTCCATTCCATTCCATATTCTATTCTATTCTATTCTATTCTATTCTATTCTATTCTATTCTATTCTATTCTATTCTATTCTCTATTTCATTCCATTTTCTATTCTCTATTCTATTTATTCCATTCCACATATTGTATTCTATTCTATATTCTATATTCTATATTCTATATTCTATATTCTATATTCTATATTCTATATTCTATATTCTATTCTATTCTGTTCTGTTCTATTCTATATTCCATTCCATTTTCTATTCCATTCCATTCCACATATTCTATTCTATATTCTATATTCTATATTCTATATTCTATATTCTATTCTATTCTATTCTATTCTATTCTATTCTATTCTATTCTATTCTATTCTATTCTCTATTTCATTCCATTTTCTATTCTCTATTCTATTCTATTCCATTCCACATATTCTATTCTATTCTATATTCTATATTCTATATTCTATATTCTATATTCTATATTCTATATTCTATATTCTATATTCTATTCTATTCTGTTCTGTTCTATTCTATTCTATATTCCATTCCATTTTCTATTCCATTCCATTCCATTCCACATATTCTATTCTATATTCTATATTCTATATTCTATATTCTATTCTGTTCTATTCTATATTCCATTCCATTTTCTATTCTATTCCATTCCATTCTACATATTCTATTCTATTCTATTCTATTCTATTCTATTCTATTCCATTCCATTCCATTCCATTCCACATATTCTATTCTATTCTATTCTATTCTATTCTATTCTATTCTATTCTATTCTATTCTATTCTATTACATTACATTACATTACATTACATTTTCTATCCTATCCTATCCTATCCTATCCTATCCTATTCCATTCCATTCCATTCCATTCCATTCCATTCCACATATTCTATTCTGTTCTGTTCTGTTCTAATGTTTCCCCTGTTCTGATCTTCTCCACTGTAGGTCACACCGCATTGCATCTCTCGGCAAAACACGGCCATCCCCAGTGTGTCAGCAAGTTGTTGCAGGTAAGAGATGGATGCTTAAAGGCTCCAAAGATGGCACCAGGGGTATTCAGAGGGCGTGGCATGTATCAGAAGGGGCGTGGCACCAGTTGCATGGCTGCCATCTTGAGTTTCTCTCGACTTCTTCTCCCTGGGGCTTTGGAAGCTCCTTGTTATTGATAGGTTAGATCACTTGAAGACTTGTGGACTTCAACTCCCAGAAGTCCCTAGCTGAGAATTACCTATACAAGTAGCCCTCGATTTACGACAGTTCATTTAGTGACCCTTTGAAGTTACAACGGCACTGAAAAAAACGTGACTTATGACCGTTTCTCACATGACCATTGCAGCAAATCCACGATCACAGACACTTGACAACTGACTCATAATTGTGATGGTTGCAGTGTCCCAGGGTGTGTGTGTGTGTCACGTGATCCCCTTTTGTGACCTTCTGACAAGCCAAGTCAACGGGGAAGCGAGATTCCTTTAACTTCACAGGTGTGAGGATCCACTTAACAACGATGGCAAAAGAGGTTGTTAGATGGGGCAAAATTCACTTAACAACTGTTTGGCTTAGCAACGGAAATATGGGGCGCAGTGGTGGCCGTACGTTGAGGACTACCTGTATTCTTGGTTTAACTAAAAACATCCTGGAGTTGGGCTTATAGACAGTGCTCGAATTATGACCGGTCACGTAGCAACTGTTACAGTTACAAAAGACCTCCTAGCCCAGGGGTAGGCAACCTTGGCTCTTTTATGACTCATGGACTTCAACTCCCAGAATTCCTGAGCCAGCATGGCTGAGCTTGGAAACCTCTCCCTTTCCCCTCAGCGTGGCTGGCTGAGGAATTCTGGGAGTTGAAGTCCACGAGTCATAAAAGAGCCAAAGTTGCCTACCCCTGATCTAGGTGTATCTGTCTGTCTGTCTGTCTATCATCTATCTATCTATCTATCTATCTATCTATCTATCTATCTATCTATCTATCTATCTATCTATCTATCATCTATCTATCTATCTATCATCTATCTATCTATCTATCTATCTATCTATCTATCTATCTATCTATCTATCTATCTATCTGTCATCTATCTATCTATCTACAGTATCTATCTATCTATCTATCTATCTATCTATCTATCTATCTATCTATCTATCTATCTATCTATCTATCTATCTATCTATCTATCTATCTATCTATCTATCTATGTCAGGGGTAGGCAATCTTTGCTCTTTTATGACTCGTGGACTTCAACTCCCAGAATTCCTGAGCCAGCATGGCTCAGCTTGGAAACCTCTCCCTGTCCCCTCAGCATGGCTGGCTCAGGAATTCTGGGAGTTGAAGTCCACACGTCATAAAAGAGCCAAGGTTGCCTACTCCTGGTCTAGGTCTGTCTGTCTGTCTGTCTGTCTGTCTGTCTGTCTGTCTGTCTGTCTGTCTGTCTGTCTGTCTGTCTATCTATCTATCTATCTATCTATCTATCTATCTATCTATCTATCTATCTATAATCTAGGTCAGGGGTAGGCAACCTTGGCTCTTTTATGACTCGTGGACTTCAACTCCCAGAATTCCTGAGCTAGCATGTCTCAGCTTGGAAACTTCTCCCTTTCCCGTCAGCATGGCTGGCTCAGGAATTCTGGGAGTTGAAGTCCACGAGTCATAAAAGAGCCAAGGTTGCCTACCCCTATCTTAGGATGTACTTACAACATGTCCATGGAGATTCACAGTCATCCAGCTCATGGTTGTCCTAAAAGTGCTTTTTCAACTGGACTTCTTTGTTTTTCTTTGAAGATGTTTCGCTTCTCATCCAAGAAGCTTCTTCAGCTCTGACTGGATGGTGGGAGAATGGAAGGATTTATACTCCTTGCAGACAGCCGCTCATTTGCATCCTTTTAGAGAGTCGTTGAGGCCACTTGGAGGTTTGTGTCCTCAAAGACTCCTCCCCAACAGCCTGCGCCCGTCTTCCACAGTGAAGAGAGCCAGGGCAGAAAACATCCTGCAGCCAAGAAGGCTCCACACCCATTTGCACCACTCAGGTGACCCTGAGGACACAGGTAAACCTCCAAGTGGCCTCAACGACTCTCCAAAAGGATGCAAATGACCAGCTGTCTGCAAGGAGTATAAATCCTTCCCTTCTCCGCCATCCAGTCAGAGCTGAAGAAGCTTCTTGGAGGAGAAGCGAAACATCTTCAAAGAAAAACAAGAGTCCAGTTGAAAAAGCACTTTTAGGACATACTTACAAAATGGTTTCAAAGTTCTGACAGCTACTGCTTTTCTGAAGGTTGCATCCTATTTTGGATGCTCAGCAACCGACCCACATTTATGATCGTTTGCAGTGTCATACGGTGACATGACTGCCTTTTATGATGGTTTTGCTCCAAAACGGTGTTTACTTCTTGTTTTCGGCAAAACCGGCCCATGGCGAACCATTGGCTCGCTTAACGACTGTCACATTCACTTAACGGCTGCAGTTAAAAAAGGTCTAAAATCTTTGCAGTCACCCACGGGTGATCTGATTTACAATCGTCATGACTCACGACTCTGATGGGCAGGATCCATTACCGGTCGTAATTCGAGGACTACTTGTCTTGCAAGTATTTTCTCAGATCATACAGGCAGGATTTCGTGTTGGCTTTTTTCGGGGACATCTTTTAATTTTATTTTTTTTTAAACTTTGTCTTATTCGCTTTTTTCCAGGACGTCTTTTAATTTTTTTAAAAAAACTTTAAAACTTATTCTACGTGCCTCTCTGTCCTTTGAAGTGATCTGCCCTGTGTTTGAATAAATCACCAGATTTATTGCAGAAAATGTTTTGAAGAAATTGGCAAGAAGAGGATTGTAATCGGTTGCCAATAGCTTGGCTGCTTTCAAAAAGTGGAAGAAGGATTGGCAGGAATTTAAAAAAAGGATGTAAAAGAAGAATGGAATGGAATGGAATATGGAATAAATAGAATAGAATAGAAATAGGAATGGAAGAATAGAATAGAATAGAATATGGAATAAATAGAATAGAATATAGAATATGGAATAAATAGAATAGAATATGGAATAAATAGAATAGACTGGAATGGAATAGAATAGAATATGGAATAAATAGAATAGAATATGGAATAAATAGAATAGACTGGAATGGAATGGAATGGAATATAATAGAATAGGGAATAAATAGAATAGAATAGAATAGAATAGAATAGACTGGAATAGAATAGAATAGAATAGAATAGAATATGGAATAAATAGACTAGACTAGACTAGACTAGACTGGAATAGAATAGAATAGAATAGAATAGAATAGAATAGAATAGAATAGAATAGAATAGAATAAGAGAGTTGGAAGGGACCTTGAAGGTCTTCTAGTCCAGCCCCCTGCTCAAGCAGGAGAACCTATACTGTCTCAGACAAATGGCTGTCCAGTCTCTTCTTAAAAACCTCCAGTGTTGGTGCACCCACGATTTCTGGAGGCTAGCTGTTCCACTGGTTAATTCTCTTCACTGTTAGCAAGTTTTTCCTTAGTTTAAGTTTAAGTTCAAGTTCAAGTTCAAGTTTAAGTTTAAGTTTAAGAAGATTGAAGAATCTTTGGTTGGAATGGCTGGAGAATTAAATTATGGATAAAGTGGAAGTTTTGGAAAGTAAGGCACAAGTTATAGATAGAGAGATGGAAAAGGATTTAACATTTTTGGGGAGAACTGAGAGAAAGATGACTTTATTTAAAATTTAGAGCAATTCCAGAAGGCCATGGAGAAGATAGGAGAAAAAAGATGGTGACATCTGTCTAATTTCCTGCACTGGGAGGAAGGTAACATTGAAATCTTTGCAAACTTCTCTTATTCTGATCAGGGTTACTCCCAAATAAATAAATGTCAGAATCCGACATTCATTGCATTTTTGACGCTACGTTTTTCTCTCTCGCCTCTAAGTCTTCCTGCCCTGTTGATGTAGCCGATAGCCAGGGAAGGACAGCACTCCACCATGCAGGTAAGTTCTCCGCACTCTTTCTAGAGTCTCACCATCTTTTTGTATCATGGTGACCCAAACTGGACACACTATTCCAAGTGTGGCCTCACCAATGCAGTATAATGTATAGAATAGAATAACAAGAGTTGGAAGGGACCTTAGAGGTCTTCTAGTCCAACCCCCTGCTCAGGCAGGAAACCCTACACCATTTCAGAAAAATGGCTGTCCAGTCTCTTCTTAAAAACTTCCAGTGTTGGAGCATTCACCGCTTCTGGAGGCAGGTTGTTCCACTGGTTAATTGTTCTGACTGTCAGGAAGTTTCTCCTTAGTTCTAGGTTGCTTCTCTCCTTGGTTAGTTTCCATCCGTTGCTTCTTCTCCTGCCTTCAGCTGCTTTGGAAAATAGCTTGACTCCCTCTTCTTTGGGGCACCCCCTGAGATACTGGAAGACTGCCATCATGTCCCCCCTCGTCCTTCTCTTCGTTAAACTAGACATACCCAATTCCAGCAACTGTTCCTTCTATGTTTTAGCCTCCAGTCCCCTAATCATCTTTGTTGCTCTTTTCTGTACTCTTTCTAGAGTCTCAACATCTTTTTTACATCGTGGTGACCAAAACTGGATGCAGGATTCCAAGTGTGGCCTTACCAAGGCCTTGTAAAGTGGTATTAACACTTCATGTGATCTTAATTCTATCCCTTTGTTCATGCAGCCTAGCACTGTGTTGGCCTTTTTGGCAGCTGCAGCACACGGCTGGTTCCTATTTAAGCAACTGTCACTTGGAATTGTTTAGGCCTGGAAGTCGCATCCTTCCCCTTGAAGTTTAAAACCCACAGCACAGGTAGTCCTCGACTTACAACCGTTCATTTAGTGACCGTTCACAGACCTACGGCTGTTTTTCAGACTTACGACCATTGCGGCATCCCCCGTGATTACGTGATCAAAATTCAGACGCTTGGCAACTGTCTCATATTTATGATGGTTGCGGAGTCCTGGGGGGCTCCCGTGATCCCCTTTTGCGACCTTCCAACAAGCAAAGTCAGTGTGTGTGTGGGGGGGGGGAAGCCAGATTCATTTAACAACTGGCTTACTAACCGAATAATTGCAGTCATTCACTGAACGACTTTGGCAAGGAAGGTCGTAAAGTGGGACAAAACGCGCTTCACGAATGCCTCGCCTCGCAGCATAAAATTGAGGCTCCATTGCGGTCGTAAGTGGAGGACTGCCCGTACTCAAGAGTAGGGCTTTTCAACCTTTTCACCCATTGTACCACTTTTAGGATATGGCAACATCCGAGTACCACCAGTCGCCTAGCAAGGGGTCAAAACCCCCCCCCAAAAAAGGAAAAAAGTGATGAAGTACAGGTCGTCCTCGACTTACAACAGTTCTCTTAGTGACGGTTCGAAGTTACAATGGCACTGAAAAAGTGCCCCCCAAGCCACAGCCGAGCAAGACACCTGCCTGCCCGCCCGGCGGTGCCCTTCCTCTTGTCCGAGGTTTCCATTGTTGTGAGCATTTCTGTTGAGGATTGGCAGCGGGGGTGGGGTGGGGGGGTGTTTGGTTTTTATTCCCCCCCCCCGTCTGCTGGGTGGTTGCAGCAGGTTTTGGTCACTTCACATGACCCTGGGACACTGTGACCGTCATAAATATGAATCAGTTGCCAAGCATCTGAATGTAAATCACAAGACCCTGGAGAGGCTGCAACATTCCGGCTGATCGGCGCTTCTTCTGGGCTCAGCAGAAGCACCAGGATCAGCGCTGAGCTCCAGCTGGATCCTGGCGCTGATCCTGGCGCTTCCGCTGAGCCCTGACAGCCCTGCAGCTCCAGCCGTCTCTCGCTCAGGCTTGTGCGGTGCTGCCACCGGTTGAGTTCATTCCCCTCCCCCACTACCACTTTCCTAGGATGGTCGCGTACCACCTGCCAGGTGCCAATGTACCACAGGTGGTACCCGTACCACTGGTTGAAAAGCCCTGCTCAAGAGAACAGGAAGTTGTAAATTGCAGGTAAATCTTACAAAAGGATCCTGGCGATTGTCAGTGAAGCTGCATGGATTCTCGTTTGGTTTGTCTTGTGGTGAAAGACCGTTCCCGTTAAGAAAGTGTCTCTTTTGCCCTCTTTTTATTTTTAATCTTTCCAGCCATCCATGGGTCTATCTCTTGTTTGGAAATTCTTTGTGACTTCAAGGCTTCCTTGAACACCAAGGACCAGGTAAGAGTCTGCCCGACCTCCATCCTGGCCTGTTCAGGCTCAGCTTGGCCCATTTCTGGCGTCCCTTCATTTTTCCTTCTTTTGTTCTCCCAACCAGATGAAAAGATTGACTTAACTCCCTAGGCCCACAAGCTGTGATTCTGATTGGCCCCTGAAAGGCTATCGAAAGGGTGTTGTCAACGCTGCTAACCTCGAATGTTCTTGCTTTGACAACATGTGGAGATGCAGCCATTTCCCTTAACTTGGGCGTTACTCTTAGAGTTAGATTTTATGATACTAGGGGAGGGGGGAGGAGGAAGAACGTGGATGGGAATTAGTGAGACATAACAAGAGCGTAGTAGTGTGTGATTCAAGGTTGTTTGGAACAAGAGATGAAAAGAAGTGGCGGGTTGGAGAATTGGAGGGAAGGCCTGCATTTCAAGCTAATTGGAGAATGTGATCTATGAGTGCAAATCAGAGGAGGGAATGGTGCTTTGATACTATGGGCTCAGGAGAGGGGAATCCAGATTTTCGGCTTCGACCGTGTCCCTGCCGATGTCATGCCACTCGAAGAAAGATTCTTTAAGGTAAACAGTGCCTCAAAGTTCTTCAAAGAGTTTTTCATCAGTCGGAACCATGACAGGTGTGTAATTTGTAAAAAAAAAAATTACATTTCCTCCTTCTCCCATCCTCCTCCTCCTCCTTCTCCTCCTGTTTTCTCTTATCCTTTCCTCTTTTGTCTTTCTTCTCTTTTCTCTTCTTTTCCTCCTCCTCCTCTTCCACTTCCTCCTTCTTCCCTTCCTCCTGTTTCCTTTTTCCTTCTCCTTCCCCTCTTGCTTTGTCTTCTCCTTTCTTTCTCATTCTTCCCTTCTCTTTTCTTTCTTCTTTTCTCTCCCTTTCCCCTCCTCCTCTTCCATTTCCTTCTCCTCCTGTTTCCTCTTCTCCTTCTTCTCTTTCCTCTTCCCCTTCCCACCTTCTCCTTCTGTATCACTCTTTCTCCTCTTTTCCTCCTCCTGCTTCTTCTCCTCCATAGCCTCCTGTTTTCTCTTATCCCTTACTTTCCTCTCCTTCTTCTCTTCATCTTTTTTCTCTTCCTTCTCCTCCTCCTCCTGTTTCCTTTTCACCTTCTCTTTCCTCTTCACTTTTTTGGCCTTCTTCTCCTTCCTCCTGTTTCCTCTTCTCCTTCTTCTCTTTCCTCTTCTCCTTCTCTTCCCCCCCTCCTCCATATCCTCCTGTTTTCTCTCATCCTTTACTTTCCTCTCCTTCTCTTTGTCTTTTTTTCTCTCCTTTTCCTTGTCTTCTATTTCCTCCTCCTCCTCCTCCTCCTCCACCTCCTCCCGTTTCCTTTTCTCCTTCTCCTTCTCTTCCCTCCTTTTCTCCTCCTCCTCCTCCTGTTTCCTCTTCTCCTTCTTCTTTCCTCTTCTCCTTCTCTTTCTCTCCTCCTCCTCTTCCATATCTTCCTGTTTTCTCTCATCCTTTACTTTCCTCTCCTTCTCTTTTTCTCTGTCTTTTTTCTCTTCTTTCCCCCCCTCGTCTTCCATTTCCTCCTCCTTCTCCTCCTCCCGTTTCCTTTTCTCCTTCTCTTTCTCTCCTCCTCCTCCTCCTCCATACCTCCTGTTTTCTCTCATCCTTTACTTTCCTCTCCTTCTCTTCTCTGTCTTTTTCTCTCCTCCTCCTCTTCCACTTCCTCCCGCTTCCTTTCCCCCTTCTCCTTCCTTCCTCTTCTCCTTTTCTTCTCTTTCCTCCTTTTCCTCTCCTCCTTCTTCTCTTTTCTCCTTCTCCACCTTCCTCCCCCTCCTGCCTCCCATAAGCAGCCCCTTCAAGGGAAGGAAGGAGAGCGTCCGAGTGGATGCTTCCCACCCAGTGGCGATGAACTTGCTATGACGAAGGCACAGATGCTTTTAACTGACCGGGCATTGTTTCCCCCGCTTTCTCCTGCCAGGATGGGGTGACCCCTCTCATGCTGGCCGCCAGGATGAACCACCCGGAGCTCTGCCACTACTTACTACACCGCGGAGCTGCCGTTAACGCCAGAGACCAGAAAGGCCGGTGAGGAAACTGGGGGGGGGGGAGGCCAGGCGTTTGTCTCTCTCGTTCCACGTGACACGATGCTCCAACCTCGTTACGACTTACAACAGTTCGTTTAGTGACCGTTTGGGAGTTACGACGGCACTGGAAAAAGGGACTTAGGACCATTTTTCACACTTACGACCTTTGCAGCATCCCCCCACGGTCACGGGATTGTAATTTGGACGCTGGGCAACCGACTCGTAATTACGACGGTGGCCGTGTCCCTCGGGAGTCACGTGATCCCCTTTTGCGACCTTCCGACGAGCAAAGTCCGTCGCCGAGCCTCTGAATTTCGATCACGTGACCACGGGGGATGCTGCAAGAATGGTCGTAAGTGTGAAAAACGGTCCTCAGTCACTTTTTCCAGTGCCGAACGGTCACTAAACGAACGGTCGTAAGTTGAGGACTGCCTGTACTTATTTACAGTATTGTGTTGATATCCATTGCAACTGTGAGATTCTATGCAGTTCACACAATAACCGGATGGGTACTATGCATGTACTAACTGGATAAATGCGGTGGTGGGATTCAGCCGGTTCGCACCAGTTCGGCAGAACCGGTAGCTAATTTTTTGTGGCTCAGGCCCAGAATGGACTTCCGGAACCAGCATCGACACAGAGAACCGGTTGTTCATCTATTTGAATCCTACCATTGAATCAATCATCTAGGTCTGTCTGTCTGTCTGTCTGTCTGTCTGTCT